AAACTCAGGACAGCTCTGGGACACCTCTGGGCACTGCAGGTATGAGACATATTTTTCGTGGTAACAATTTTAATTCATCAGGAATTCAAATGGGCAGAAAGATGAGAAAGAGCCCACATAAAGACCACTGACTTTTATTTGGGAGTTACTCTTATTGATTAATCTTTCTGCCTCCACAGGTCATTTGCTTTTAGTAATGACAATTTTTTATATTTCTATGAATTCTTGTTATTGCTAATAAACTACTGGGTTAGCTGGATCCTCCTGGATCAATCACTGTAAATGGTTCCATTCACATTCACTCCAAATGCCTAATTTTTGTGAATTATTTGTACTTTCTCATAGACTGAGAACAATTTTTTGTCCTATATACCACTGTTACTACTTCTCTCAGAGGAACTTGGTTCAAAGTCACCTGCCTGCCCATTTTACATTACTTATTAAACTCACATATAGCCAAAAATTTTTTTGAAAAAGAAAAAATGTTTGTGATAAGTTTTTTGCCATATAGAGAAATGTATGGAATCTTAGAACAGTAAAGCTGCAAATTGGTTTGTGTGCTATTAACTTTTACTGATGAAATAGGATAGAGGCAAGTCTAATTTTGGGATGCCTCTGCTTTTCTTTCTGAACCTCTGGATATTTCATAGCTATCTATGTAATTTCTTTGACAAGATTGAGGAAACCACCTAGAAATTTGTTTCAGTTGTGAAATGTTAATTTTACTTCAGATGTCATAGGAAACTTATATTAAAGTAATGTAGCTCCAACTTGAGGCAGTGGAACAGGATGCAGTCTGTGCCTGTAGCTGCCCTCCTGTGTGTGATGCTGGAAAAGGGAATATGATATTATTTATTTATTATTATTATTATTATTATTATTATTATTATTATTATTATATTCTATTATTATTAATTATCATTATTATTATTATTACTACTACTACTACTACTACTACTACTAATAATAATAATAATAATAATAATAATAATAATTTGGGGATGGTGTGTCTTGTGCCCAGTTCAGCTTTACAGGAGGGATGGAGGAGTCAAGTTTGTTCCCTGAATCTTCACAGCCAGGTAACATGTGAACAAATTCTGCTCAGTGGGAGGGAATCACAGAGGTGCTTACAAGCAAATACCCAGAGAGACTTAAAGGAGGAACAAAAACATCCTTTTCCCTTGTCTACCCCAGTCCAAACCAATTAGCTTTCAGTTTTGGTGCCCCAGGCAGTTTCCCTGCTTCCAGCAGTGTTTTGCAGGAGGAATTTGAGGGTTTTCTAAGTTCTGGTGCCTCTGAGAGTTGCTTCTGGAGTAAAAACAGTTTATGCTTCCCCCATTCTTCAATGCACTGTCTAAGGGCACCATCCAGTTGAAAAACAGTAAAAAGAGTAATTAAAAATAATAAAACAATGTGATGCTGCTACTAACCATCATCTACAATGATAACAGTCTGTAATGTACTCTAATTATCTAATTAATTATACTAATAATCACTAATTAATGAATATTTTAATAGATTGGGAAAATGTGCTTTTAAAGTGCTGCACTATCATTTGTCTGGCTATATTTGTGATTTGGCACTGAAAATGCTCATCAGAAGGAACACCTCTTGTCTGCAGCACAACAGATTTCCTGAGGGGCACGCAGGAGTCAAAAGACTTTACTTTCCTGCAGTGACTGGGCAAATCTTGAGATCACTTGAAACAGTATTGGGGAAAGACTGGCATTTTCCTTTCAGCCATGAAGATGCTCATCCTATTCACCAAATTGCAAATTTGCTCAGAAATGTTTCCAAACAATGGCTAAAATGTCTCTGGAACAATCTGAATATATAAGATTACCACTGCGCCTGGAAACACCACAAATATTTGTCTAAGCTGGAACAGACTTTTGATTTTTTAAAATACATATTTATTAATAGGAAAACTTTGTGGTAGGCTTATTTTTCTCATTATGTGGGAGAGCCTCCTTCCTGCTTGTGTATGTGTGCTCACTGCTGAAGTGCATTATAAATTATTTTTTTTTTATAGAATGAGTCTCTTCTAAATTTGCAAAAGCCACAACTTCTACTCATGGAGTT